TCATAGCCATCCGTCATTCCATGTATCACAATACCCCAGAGAATTAACTTGTGATGCCCGTCACAATGCCATAATGCATTCGGCCGAGGTGAGGTATATTTGCGACGTTGAATGGCTTGTCGTTGTCGAAGTCTTTGACCAAGGCCATCGACACGTCGAATGGACAGTGCAAGTCGTTTTCGTTGAATCCTAATTCCACGTATTCGCAGAGAACCAACAAGATATCGAACACCAGAGTCCAGCTTATTTTGTTTGTACTGTCGTACCAAAGTATCGAGTTCTGCATTCGTCATGGCAGAAAATTGGCGGTGGATACCATAAAGCTTCAGGTATGATGAGAGGGTGTGGCGATCCATATCAAGCTGTCTAGAAAGCTTTGAAATGGATATGTTTCGATGCAGTGCCATGGCTTCCTCAAGATAAGAAGGATCCACAGCCTTTCGTGGTCGCCCACGGCGGCCAGTATGTATAATTGTAACTGGATCCAGATTTTCTACATTGGATGGTGATCTATTGAAGAATATAAGACTGTTCTGAAACCCTTTTCGAAGGCATACCGATCATTCACTCCGTCAATCGCAGCTCGCAAATGAAGAACCATGAGGCCCAACATCACGGCCACTTCTTCCATCCATGATATCGGGATTTGCTCTGTTTCCTGACTTTCTTCCATAGATTCCAGAATGGGAAGGGCGTCATTCATAATCTTCTCTTGATGGAACTTGAGACGTATCGGGTCAGCTTCTTGTCGCAAAACTGCAAGGGCATGGTCATAGACATTTTTAAGAATATTTCTGGCCATGTCTGCATTTGCAGACCATGCCGCTTGGTTGGCACCACGAGTAGGGAAAGGAGGAATTGTTGGAGGCAAGGGGGGGAGCTCCATACAGGGAAGAGTGTCGTCATGTACTATACAAACTTGCTTGATCGACGATCGTGTTAGTCACAATGGTGTTACACAAAAATTTGCTTTCCAACTACCATGGATTGTCCACGACCTCAGCACCACTCAAAGCACTACAAAGAACATGGGAATGTGATTATTCTGGTATGTTCTTTGACTATACAAAAGAAAGCAGCGTCTAAGCGAGATACAAGGTTGAAAACACACTATACAAATTAGAGCGAGGTCTCTTGTGTGATCTCTCTCCAGTGTTCCGGGATATGTTCTCCCTTCCCATACCCCTCAAGTCCCAACCAGAGGAGACAGTGGGTCAGGTTAGCTTTAGGGTAGAAGGAGAGGTCGATGAGCACCCAATCGTCTTTCCTGAAACAACTGTGGAGGAGTTTGATCACTTTGTGGAAAATTGTCTCTATTTTACGTGCGCACCAGTTTCATTTTATCTCTCAGCAGGCTAACTCTCCTTCACAGTTGGACACCTCCACCTGTTCCCGTTCAAGTCCATATTGATGTCTTGAAGTTCGCCCACAAGTTCGACCTGCGTGAAGATGTCAAAAACAGTGTTATCTTTAAATTGAGTGAATATCGCGACCCTCACCTCAAAGCCGTCGACCGCTTGAATCTGGCTCGCCTCTATGAGATCCCATCATTCATTCGGCCAGCATTCATCTCACTCTGCCGCATTACCCTCAAAATCTCAGACCTCCCCTCCATCGATATCCAGAAGATCGGCCTTCCAGCCTTCAGTGTCCTAGCAAAAGTTAAGGAAGCCATAAATGAAGAACGACGCATAATTGCATACCATGCTCCTGGCGTCGATTCACTTCCCACCAACGAAGAATGTAACAAATTGACCCACAGCACTGTATGTCTGAGGGTATGGAAGAAGGAGTGGTGGAGCAAGATCGGGAGAGGTATCCTGCAGCCGGTGCCCATATTCGCATGGGATTTTCCTGATGATGTTGTCGAAGCCGTGCAGAAGCTGCAGCTTCCTGGGGTGACTCCAGCCTGCCGTCATACCTTCATTAGTTTTGTAGCTTCCCATGCACATGCACTCACGAGACCATCAGAGTTGATAGATGATGGAGTCCAGGAGCTAGAGAGGCTCCTCTCAGTGGGAGCGTTGTAGCAGTTGGTATACGTAGCGACAAATGATGACTACAAATTTTCGCGCGGTGGGAAAATCTGCGCGCGGCCCACTTTCGCGCGGAATTATTTATTTACCAGATCTAACAGCATATCCCTCGAGGTCGGTCGTCTTCCCACCCGCCTTCTCCTTCCCTTTCCCAACCGCTAACTCCTTCTTACTCTTCGTCCGTTGCATCTTGGACATGGGCTTGAACACACGCGAAATGCTAACTTGGCTGTTTAACACACGTTTCTTATTGACCCTACGCCGCGCGTTCTTTCTGTCTTCGTTCTCGTTCGAGAGGAATGGACAGGGAGCGAGAAAGAGGAAATGTAGCCGCGTGTGGGTTCGTTGTGTTACTGCGGCCTGAGGCCGTGGAAAGTACCGGGAAAATGCTGTCTAGAAGTAGATGGTTCGTGGGATAGCATTTGGGGAGGGTCAGCCGTTTCAGCAGAGGTGGATCGTTCAGTGGCTGGGGACGATGCGCGGTCTGACAAGGGCTGCGCGAAGACTTTGGACCGGAGGGTGGCACATTACCGCCTTATTTTGAGGCCCAGCATCAGTTTAAATTGATTGGCGAGGGGACGCAAAACGTACTGAGGCTCGATAAAGTCTTTGCGTAATATCTGCATTCAGTCGCCTTCGTCCTTTATATCGCACAACTTGCCTGACAAGTCAATGTAGGCAACTGACTGCCCGATGGACAGTTTGTCCATGAAGGACTTCCAGACTGTCTTTGAAGGTGAGGAAAGGGACAGCCGGCTGCGAACGAACAGACCTTGCGTTTCTTTGGCAAATTTAAAGGTGCTGGAGGTGGTGGAGCGTTTGGGTAGTGGTAGCTTCAACGGATAGAGAGTAATTGTATCTGTACTCTTAAGCCTCGGCCACGAAGAAGACGGGTGAAAACCGACTCACTCTCACCTCCCCATCCGATCTAACCAATGCTTCCGCAACGGATTATTCATGCAAGATCCATCGTCATTCACTGATGCCACAAAACGTGTGTATACCTCCTCATCCCACTCAAACGCACCCTAACCCAACTAACACCCGTCACCAATCCCGACATCGACAGTACACCCGTACCCGCCATCCGCCTTCTCTCCAAACTCTGTTACCTCTCCATCGCAGATACAAGCATCGACATGAACGGGTTGGGGACGTTGGCAAAGACGGTCGGTGAGGAGGCATGGGATGTGGATACTGAGGTTCCGTGGGGATGTGAGGTTTGCATTGATAGTATGAGCATTTCCCCCTTTTCTCTCGCAACGTTCTGATGCTGATTTATCTAAAATATATGCCAAAAGCGTACCCCCTGCACCGGTGCTCCCCATTGATAACCGACCAGGAGGCATGCAGCACTCTATCGTGGGCTGCGCTTCGACGCAATCTATCTGCTCATGCGGAAAGCAACCTGGCGATTGTGGTGGGTGGGACAAAGGATGAGGTGGTGTTGAAGTTGGAGGGATCGTTAAGGACGAGGACGTTGGATTCGTTAGTTAGGAGGATGATTGGGAACTGAGGATTGATTGTTGGTGCGAGCGAGGAAGGTTTTTGAGTGGTTTTCTGATTGTGTTTCGTCTCCTGTTTTCCGCTCTTGTCTTTCGTTCAAGTGTTGCACGTTTGCATACATGTTATATCAATGTTTTCGCCTACGAGACTTTTCAATGATAGTTGATTTTTAGATCTACAAATCGACAAGAAGCCTAATACATACAGTATGTGCAGGCTGATAGCCGCTCTTCCCCATCCACGTCGATCGTCCTTCTTCGGTCCAACAGGTGTCGGTTTTCTAGGTGGATGGCTTACATCCCCACTCCCATCTTCAGTCGTAGTAATCGCAGGATTCGTAGCAGGCGGCAAGTGCGAATAAGACGGCGTTAGTCACTCATATTCCCCCGTACTAGGACTCCTTCCCATCACACTCGCACCGCCCGACGTCAACGTCGCAGAAGCGCGTATACTCCCTAGATTCGAAGGCAACCCAAGGTCCAAAACAGGATTTGAACCTATCGTAAGACAGAGGCACCCCATGCCGAGGAGAAGAAAGGTTGGTTGGATGATGAAAAGCACAGGAAGGAACTTTGAGGCGGGTGACAAACAACCACAGATGTGTTGGGTCAAACTCTCCTCATGTCATAGATCACTGGTGGTTTGGCTGCAGGGGTTGCCACCATCGCTGGTGATGTACACGCCTTCAAGAAACACGAGGAGCACAAAGAAGGGGTGCAGTGTTTGATGTTCGTCGCATCCCATTCGCTTCGCTTGTTGGCTTATCGGTTGGAGGAAGCCAAAGCGCGTACTGCCTAAGCGTCGGTAGAGAAAAGTCATGTACTTTGTATAATTGCAGGGCGTTTTATGAGGTGTGTCCATCTTCGGGTTGGGGTCGTCTTGCCCAAAGTAGCCAGCCAGATATGATGAGGGGGTGGAGGAACGAGGTGTGAATTCGACGAACCCACAAAATGGGACTGCACGCCCTGAGGTAAACATCAGCCTGCGAAGCCAGCCCAAGCTCTGCAGGCGGAAAAAGGTCAGTCGCGAAGTTGAGAATCGTGATCTCTGCCCCTTCCTCTATCCTGGCGCTCCCGTTCGGTATGATGATTGATCGCCCTCTTTCCGACAGGGGTAGTAGGGAGACCACCCGTAGGCAGCATCTGGCAGCATACGGCGACGTGCTTGACCCTTCCAAAGCCCGGCCACCCCCCTGAGGAACCATCTTCCCACTCTTGGGTTGAGCCCGGAGTTCACCCTCGCCCGATTCCGATCTGAGTCCGACTTTAGCTCTGGATGCTTTGGCGGCGACGATCCCTGGCGGTTTGTCTGCGCCGCTCACTTCTTCTGCTGCGCGTGTGGTTATACGGATGGCGTACCCCATGCAGACGAATACTCCCCCGATGACACCGACGCAGCAGAGGAGGAGTTGGAGGAAGGCTGTGGTTGGTTGGCGTTGTGTTATAAAGATAATGCCTGGGGTTTCTTACTGCATTATGCGGATGTAGTGCGTTAAGCCGTATTGGTGTGTTTGGAGGGGCACGGAACGAGGGGCAATGTAGGTTCTCGGGACGACGTGTAGGAAGTATTGGTACGCTACGAAACCTGTCTTGGAGTGC